ATGTATTTGCAGGGCAATAACTGGGAAAGGGTGAAACATCACTCTACAGTGGTTAGAGTGAATGTGAATTCATGGATATTTTGCTTAGAATTCGGACCTTCTACTTAGAAGAACTTGGCAGATGTAATATTTTTTGAACATGCTATTTTAAGGACTTTTTAAAGGGATACTATTTGATCAACTTTCCAACCTTCTACCTAGTCTTCAATAGTGCAGGGACTTTAGTCAAAAGCAATTTAATTTCCAGGTACCATCACCAGGTAATGAATGAATAAATCTGCAGACTTGAATCTTTATGATAAAAGTCTTATTAATACTGGAATATTCCCTAAATATAAATTTATTTCCAATTTGACAGGTTCCATTAGGAATGGCAATTCTTTAACGGGTATTAAGAATTATGTTATTGTCAATTATATCAAATACAGCCCAATGTTTTAGATATTTTTGTCTAAATTAACACTTGGGATGATCATGAAAAGTTATCTCTTCTGGCCTGTTGGCTGATATAGCCTAGTCACTCTCATTTGAATATTCTCTGGAAAATTGTTTCAGGACTATCCCATATTTATTTAACCCTGCTGGAAGAATCAGTGAGTGACCTGAGAATCCACCATTGTGATTCATAAACCATGGTTTATAGCTAAGCACATCTGAACCCATCCAATTGTGGCTTATTCAATAAGCCATGGTTAAATGACAATTGCTTAGTATAATATGCCAACCCAAGTGATTTAAGATTCAATATTAATATAATTTCCACTTACAATATAGATCTGACAGGCAAAAGTTAAATTTATATGCCGATTTACATGCTAATTCAACTGTTACATATTTCTTCATCCTTCCTTTATTCAGTTGTTCTTCTCTCTTGCTCTCTTGAACTTTTTCTGATGAAAATGAATGAGGACCAAACTGAGAACCAATAATTCAGCTTAATTTTTTTTTTCAGCTTCTAAAAATACATCGATGCCTTGTAAATTTGAATACCGACAATAACTAGAAATTTCCACTAAGTTGGAGGCATACTTAAGAAGAACACTTTGAGGTTAGTATGGCTTAAGTTAGATGTCTACTGTTCACCCTGTATTCCAAGGCAGCAAAGTCCACAGAGTGGGGTCAAGACATCAAAATGACAGGCATAACTGGGCACCAGGAACTTCACCCCTTTTTACCTATGTATGATGTGTGCAGCTCATGTTATAAAAGAGGGAGGCTTCCATCAGCCAGTCTGTGCCATTTTGTTATTGCTGACTCCACAGACAGACATCCCTGTGACTGGATCCAATCCATATTCTCAGAGAAATCTCTTTATACTTCATCTCTGTAATTTTATTTTTTTCTATTGTTTGCTGCCCAGAATTCATTAGATTTGAGGAAGGTTGATCTATACAATAAAAAAAATAGAGAGAATGGAGAAACTAAGCTGCATGAGAAAGGTCTGAGGAAAGAGCAAACGCTTTAAAAAAGTTACTTGAAGGTGATGTAGGAGGGGAAAAAATGGCTCTAAAATCAGTTCTAAATCATTCTCAGGACCTGCAAACAGTATGATTAAAGGACAGTATAAAGGATGAGGTTTCCCCGGTGTTCTCATGCAATTGTATATGATTCTGAATAGAGTTTGTCACTGTGAACCCAGCATGGCCACTCCAGATGGGCAAAACCTTAGAGGGGAAAAAAGCAGACCAATCCAGACCTGAATATTTAATTTTTCCAAGTGTTTTCAAGTAATTTTATCTCCCAGGACAGAGTGGAAAAGTATTTTTCTGTTCTTGTTTTGACTTTGCTGTATATTACTGATTTAACTTTCTCTACTGTAAATAATCTCTGTGTCATTGAAAATAACCTGCTGAATTACACCATAGAAAGAAACAGATCACTACCATCTCAGTATTTGGGTTTTTAACCATCCCATTCTTTGTGTGCTGAAACAATAGGCAGAAAATGTATTTGCATTTTTTCTCTTTGTATACGCTGACATACTGATCCTTATGGAAAACGTGATGTGCTTATTTATAACTCGCTTTGCGTTGTCTGTTATTAAGTTCAGGAGTTTCATTATATGGTTCAGCATTATCTGTAAGTGATTAGGAGAAACCTGAACTTCTAGTTAGTCTAAGTGGAAGTGACCTGGCAGCTGCCACAGCAATGTTTCTCAACCTTGGCAATTTTAAGACGTGTGGACATCAACTCCCAGAATTCCCCAGCTGGCCTTCCCCACACGTCTTAAAATTGCCAAGGTTGAGAAACACCGTGCTGCAGCATCCCATGCTGCTGTTGTTTAGAAGAGCCGTGAAGACCTGGCTCTTCACCCAAGCCTTTGGCAAGGGACAGTGAGATCCCTCGCTTCATCACACTTGCCGTCTTTTATCTTTATTTTGAATGTTTTATTGATTTTATTGTAATTTATTTGTTTGATTGTTGTGAGCCACACAGAGTCATTGAGAGTTGGGCAGCATACAAGTTTAATAAATGACATATCTCAGTCTCAAGTAAATGTAACCAGGCCCATTCCTGAAAAAAAGTGTCAGTCGGGGAAGAGTGTGCTGGAGGCACAGGAAACAGCTGCTGCTGCTGAACTTAGTTCCTTAAACCCAGATGATCCAGGATGGTGGATTCACTTATGACTGCCTTACACTGCATGGGCCAGGACAAATGAATATCCTCATGATGTTGCCAACATCAGTGAAAATAGAAGTTTCCACCAACCCCATTACTGAAGCGAAGTCCCCAATGGTGACAAAATGGAGAGGCTATGGCTTCTATACTCAAAAACCCAGAATGTTGTGTACTGTTTTTGTTGCAAACCCTTCTAGCTACATTGTGTTTTTCAGAAACAAAGGACTGGGAAAATCTGGATTAAAATCTGGTATTCCGTGAGAAGGCAGCAAATGACCAGATGTGAAAACATGTAGAAATGAATTCAGGTTGAAGCCCCCATAGATCATTAGCATCAAGAGAAGATTGCATCAAAGTCTCTTCTGAAAAGGTTCACTGCCATTGTGAGAATGTTTATTCTCCAAAATCAAGCACTGTGTGGCACTTCAGATCAGCCGAATGAAACCAGCAACTCAGCCTGGGACAATGCTCCCACAATGTCTCTTTTGACTCAGAATGGCTGAATATAAAACAGATCTTGCATCTACATCAGATATATCCACGGCATCGGGTACTTTCATCAACATGGTGAAGGCAGCATTGCACCATCACAACACAAACTCTAGCACTTTTATACACGTATGCGATATCACAACACATGTACGAAAGAGGTGGAGCTTGTGTTGTGTCAATGCCATCCTGCTTTCATCATTTGCTCCCCCTCCACTCTGGATGCCTCTGGATCTCAGCATTCAATGGACAAATATTAGTGTCTGATGGGTCTAATACAGTGTTGTCCAAACTTGGCCACTTTAAGATGAGTGGACTTCAACTCCCA